GTTATTAGCAGTGTACCAGCTACTACACCAACCCAGCCACCGCTGTCACCTTACAGAGTCTGGCGCAGGGTGCAAAGACATTTCAGTCCATGTGCTCAATGAACCAATTCAGTGGCCGCGATGTTGTGAGATTGCTACAACTCCTACTTTGCTTGTTTTTGTAGTGTAACTTCATGAAAGCAAATATGAGAAAGATTCATTACTTTCTAAAACTCTTGACATGTGTACAACAGAAGAAGAAATTTTTAGGTATTTTAGGTTAGCCTTTAAAACACCATCAACTAATTTGGCAAAAAATGCAAGCTAGCTGGATGGATAGCATAGAATGATGGCACGGGGAAAAACTCAGAGGGGACAGTTGGTTTCAAAACCGTTACCAAAGTGAATTCAAATATTGGCGGTAGGCTGAGGGAATGTGCACTAGCTGTTAAAAAAAATGGCAGTAATTTTATTTTATTTTAAAATATTTATTTCTTGACTTGAAAGAGATACAGAGAGAGAAGGAGGGGGAGAGAGAGAGAGAGAGAGAGAGAATCTTCATTCTGCTGTTTCACTCCCCAGATGGCTCAAAAAGCCGGGGCTGGGCCAGGCTACAGCCAGGAGCTTCATCCAGGGTCTCCCATATGGGTGGCAGGGGCCCAAATACTTGGGTCACCTTTGCTGCTTTCCCCGGCCATGAGCAGGGAGCTGGATGGGAAGTGGAGCAGCCGGGATATGAACCAGTGCCCACATGGGATGCTGGCGTCACAGGCGGCCGTTTTACCTTCTGTGCCACAACACCAGTCCCGGACAGCACCTTTAAAAACCACATTTCACGGTGCCATACAGATAGTCAACTTTATTAAGGAACAGCATTTACAGTTTAAGCTTTTACGTTCAATATGAATGGTAAGAACAATGGGTTCTAGAATTTCCTTTCTCAAGCCAGAGACCAACGTCAAACAAGATGTGAAACAACTGGTTATCGCTTGTTTGTGCTTATTATCGTGGGTGAAGAAATGGCGATTGCACACTATCTCCCAAATGCAGTGAGTTGCGCCGCTGAAGTTGTGTGTTTCTATAGTACAGACTTAACCTTTCTGAGCCGTGTCAGCTTTACAGAAAAAGGAGCAGAAACCACAAAGTTCCGTATAGCCACTTGCCCTGCATTTGTGTGGTAGACTTGTTAAAACTGACAAATCACAGCTGGTGCTGTGGCATAATGGGTAAAGCTGCTGCCTGCAGAGCCGGCATCCATTATGGGCGCCAGTTCAAGTCCTGGCTGCTCCACTTCTGATCCACCTCTCTGCTATGGCCCAATTCCTTGGGCTCCTGCACCTGCGTGGGAGACTCAGAAGAAGCCCCTGGCTCCTGGCTTCAGATCGGCGCAGTTGCAGCCAATTGGAGAGTGAACCAGCAGATGGAAGACCTCTCTCTCTCCTCTCTCTTTCTCCCTCTCTCTCTCTCTCTCCTCTCTCTGTGTGTAACTCTAACTTTCAGATAAATAAATAAATCTTTTTAAAAAAACACTGACAAATCAAAGCTGGCACCCTATCCCTAATTAAAGGCCACAGCTTACAATGGAGTTCACCCTTCGTGCTGCAAAGCTTGGTGGGTTGTGACTCCTGCGCCATGTCATGTACCTGCACTACAGTGTCGTACAGAAGAGTACCCCCTGTCCACAGGACCGCTGCAGGTTCACCAAGCTGAAAGAGCCCAGCCTGGAAATCAGAACAGCGGTGTTCCTCGGCTCCCAATAGCAGACAAAGCCCCAGCCATGAGAAGCAAGCGTAGTTCCGTTGCATTCCTCACATCTCACCCAGCACATGTCATGCAGCACTAGTTAAACATATCTGCTTTGGTCCTGAGGATGAAAGAGAAGGAGGAGCTGGAAGAGGCGAGGCAGAGGACTGGCGTGGTGAGAGTATCAGCAAGCCCTGGGCCTCGGCTCCGCTTCTCCTCGGATGGGGCACTCGCCTGCCTCCAGGGGGTCTACTCAACGACTGCAGGAAGACCCGGATAACCAGAGCCAGGGCTAGTATGCGTTTAGAAATTGGTAAACATTTTCTTTGAGCTCCGGGATTTTTTTCTTTGTGTGCTGATTGCTTTTTGGAGATTTCAAGAATTTTTTTTTTAAAGAAAAACTAAGAAAACACAAACAAATTTATATTTTGAATTTTTACCAACACAGTCAGAAAACCGTGTTTGGGCCATAGCTAAACCAAAAAGAAAATGCTAGTAATACGGATTATTTCTATATGCAAATCTACAGAGCAGTCCTCTTGAACATCCTTCGGTACATGAACAAAGCTTACAAGAGAACCCTTTTCCTGGGCTGGAAAGAACACTGGAGCATCGCTGTGCGACTGTAACCAGGGGCTGGACCTCTGCTGTGGGGCTCATTTTTCTTTATTCTTATTTATGCAGAACCATCCTAAAGGCAGGGAGTGGTAAGGAGCCGAAGAACGAGAGAACAGTTTCAGTTCTAAGTGCCTGTGGATTTATTTTGAAACCCACTATTCTGCACTGAACACATTTAAAAAATCCTCCACTTGGAAAAGAGCACTATATCCAAAGGGTTGTGTGCATATACACTATTAATAATAGCTAACATTTATTTTAAGCCTGACATCCTAAGCACTTTACATGGATTATAACATTCTATCCTCTCATCAATCTTATGAAGTACACACTATTATTTTCTCCATTTTACAGAAATGGAAAATAAAGCAGAGAGAAATTAAATCACTTTCCCAAGGTCACTTCATGGTGGTTTAGCTGGGACTTAAGCCTAGGCAGACTGGCTCCTTAGCCTGGGAGCTTAACCACTAAACTGCACTGCTACAAACTACATATTTATTTTTTATTTATATGCGCTTGTTTATTTAATGAAAAAGGAAAGAAGGCTTTAGAGAATCATGTATTTAAGTTGCAAGCATAGACAAGTAGCAAGAGGAGTAGGAGAGGGTTTGTAAAAAAAACTTATCCTGCATTTAGAAATGCATAAATACCAATCTCCGCTGCTTTTAAGTCAGAGTGCATTGCTATTTAGATTTACGTTGCAATTAGAAGACTTTGACTACTGCTACTGCTGTGGAGAAAGTCCCTTGTCTCTGACCCAGAAGTCTTGTGTCTTCTGCCAGCATTCACGCAACTTGCTGGTTTGCAAAGGTGAAATCCCAAACCTTTAGTAATTCTTGACAATTGAGAAAAATTCACTTGTATCTTTTTTATTTGCTGACAATATTGTCACTGTTACCTAGATGTCACGCCTAGATGAATTACAAGTGCCGGGTGGATCTTTGAAATCACCACAGCACCTTTCATGGAGAACCTAGCAGAGACTCCCACCCATGCTAGCCTCACAAGTGCTCTGTACAACACAGATTATTATCCCCATTTTGAGGAAATGTAGGCTTAGAGACAGTAACTATTTCCCCCCAATATCCTACAGCTAGTTAAGTGTTAGAACTGAGATCTAAAGCTAGTCCAATGTATTTTCCACCACCATGCTTCTGGAAACATGTTAACGATAGAAATAATAATTTGTGGACAGTGAGAGAGAGAGACAGAGAGAAAGGTCTTCCTGTGCCGTTGGTTCACTCTCCAATGGCCGCCGCGGCTGGCGCGCTGCGGCCGGCGCACCGCGCTGATCCGATGGCAGGAGCCAGGTACTTATCCTGGTTTCCCATGGGGTGCAGGGCCCAAGTACTTGGGCCATCCTCCACTGCACTCCCTGGCCACAGCAGAGAGCTGGCCTGGAAGAGGGGCAACCGGGACAGAATCCGGTGCCCTGACCTGGACTAGAACCCGGTGTGCCGGCGCCGCAAGGTGGAGGATTAGCCTAGTGAGCCACGGCGCCGGCCTAGAAATACTAATTTTCAAACCAAGTTATAAAGGCCACTGGGAAAGGAAAAATGATTGCTAAAGAGGAAATGAGAATTTTGAACAAGACAGAAGGGAGAGGCAGAGAAAGAATAAGGATGAAAGAGGATAGAGGGGTGATGTTGTGCACAGTGGGTAAGCCACTACTTGGGTCGCCTGCATCCCACATTAGGGTTCCACTTTGAGTCCTGGCTCCTCCACTTCCAATCCAACTTCCTGCTAATGCATTCTGAGGGCAGCAGATGATGTTTCAAGCACTTGGGCTCCTGCCACCCACGTGGGAGACCCAGACAGAGTTCCAGGCTCCTGGCTTCAGCCCAGTCCAGCCCTGGCTGCTGCATTTGAGAAGTGAACCAGCAAATGTAAGTTTTATCTCTGTCTCTGGCTCTCTCTCCCTGTTGCTCTGCCTTTCAAGTAGATAAAAATTAGTAAATTACTAAAAAATAAAATAGGACACTTATTTAAAAAAAAAGAAAATGGCAAGAAAAGATAGAAAAAGGATGGGGACCATATATCTGGATGTCCTAATAGGACGACAGAGGTTTGGGGTCCCTAAAACAAAGGGCTAGGAGCAGGAGGGGTGGTGGGGCTGACTGAGGAACTTGGTATAGAGCCATGGAGAATCTCCAACTCAGTACTGAGGGTGAAATCTGGAAGGAACCAAACAGCGCCTCTTGGTAAAGTGTCCATCTAAACCGCCAAGCAGCTGAGTCCAGGGACAGGGGCGGTCATCAGAGCCCCCTAGGAAGAGGGAGAGAGAAGGGGACCAAGGGGACAACTGGAAGTTGGGAGAGTGCCCAAAGCACTGGGATGCTGTTGTGGGGCGGCTTTGGTTGTGTGCAGTTTGGCTGGCTGTGCGTTTGCCCACTTTGTTTGGTTTGGACTTCAGTGGTCTTGCTTGTGTGCAGGAGAGAACCCAGGTCTGGTTTGGAGAGAGCAGCAGCAGCCAACAGTTATCTTGACTGGCCCTTAGGGGAGTGATCTGGGGAGCGGTTCCAACACTGAGCTCTTTGGAGTCCATCACCGAAGACACCCGCAGCGAGCTTTGGTTTCTTTGTATCCCTGTGTCAATTCAGTTGTACTTTGAGCTGCCCAGTGCCTTGAAATAAAAACCCTTGGGTTTTCCAATGCCTGCTGTTGGTGGCATGCACATTTTAGTACCTGTGGTCTAGCACGTAGCCTTTGTCAGCGTCACTCACCGTGTTATGTTTTGTTCAGGCTCACACCTTGCCCACCCAGGGTCTGAGCCCATTGTGCTAACCATGGTGGTGGTCATAGTGGGGGTGCAAGTAGCAAAGTCTTCAGTTTTCTTTGCTTCCCGACAGAGCATGGTTGAAATCACTGCGCCCCTTTCTCTTCTTCGAGGGGCTGGGAGAGAATAATGAATGCGTCCTTTGTTCTGATGCATCTTTCTGTTTCCCACACAGGAAGAAACTGACAGCTGCCGGTCAGTGGGTTTTCCTGAGCCTCACCTTCCCCCTGGTTAGATCCCTCACCGTGGCAGCAACCCTGTGCTGTGGAGGTAAGGTTTCACATTATTCATTAGGCTCGAGCCCTCATTAGTAACTTCTTTATCAAATAAACACTGGGCTCTGCAGACACAGGGAACAAGAGCCCACTTCATTCAAAGCACAATGATAAATGTCTCCTGTGGTCCTACACTCCAACTCTTAACATCTGCGATCTGCCCGTCTCCATGGCAACATAAAGTCAATAATAAAAATAGCCCCAATCCAGGAAAGGCACAGCAGGGAACGTCTGTCCTAAAGGAAAACAAGCGCTTGACGTGAACTTCCATCGCAGCACAAGGACCCACGCGGAACGTAACCATTGATGGATAGGAAAACAACAGATGACTTCGAGAAGTGGTGCCTGCATTCAGTGGGAGGCCTGAAGGGGACCCTGCCTCTTATATTCGTGGGCTTGTACGGCATGTATTTTACATTTTGTCTAAATGTGTTTTGAATTATAAGCTTGTTAGGTTACACTAGATTTAAGGGGAACCATAGATTATGAAAGGACCGCTATCAAACGAAGGGTTGAGACTCGCTGATGCAGGCTGTGCCACATAACTCCTTAGCCAAGTTGTACTCCGCCACATAGGCCCCCTGCGCCCCCTGCCCACCTGCAGCCTGACCCGGGGCGCTGCGCCCAGAGTCCTTTGGGGGCCACTGGGACATTCCTGAGGCTCGGTGGTCCCCGGGAGCTGGGCATAGCTGGGGTGAGGGCAGTAGAGCAGCCCTCCAGGAGGGAAGAATGTGTCCTGCGGGGTATAGGAAGATCTCCACGGGTAGGATATTTTCAAGGATGGGGATTTCGAGTTAATTCAATTTTCTAATTAACTGTAGTGACTTTGGACCTTTTAACTCATGGAGTCTGGTTTAGTTAAAAAAAAAAAGAGGCTGGGGGATGGGGTGGGGGGAACTTCATGACCCTGGTGTCCCTGCCGGCCCTGGCATTCTGCAAGCCTATGAATTGAGGACAAAGCATGATTTTGTTACAGCCTTTGTGGGTAAAAAACTTAGAATGTCTGAACTTACTGTTCTACTATGGCAAAAACCATGTGTTGAATACAACTAGATGGTGTGTGTGTGTGTGTGTGTGTGTGTGGATGGGTGGATGTGGCTTAAGGAAAAAAATCTAAGCAGTTTACAGCCAATCCCAGGGCCTAGCTGTTTGACCTTGGGCAAGTTCCCCATAACTTTCTTTAAAAAAAAAAAAAGAGAGAGAAAGAAAGGAAGAAAGAGAGAGAGAGAGAGAAAGGAAGGAAGGAAGGAAGGAAGGAAGGAAGGAAGGAAGGAAGGAAGGAAGGAAGGAAGGAAGGAAGGGGAAGAGAAGAGAAGAGAAGAGAAGAGAAGAGAAGAGAAGAGAAGAGAAGAGAAGAGAAGAGAAGAGAAGAAAAGAAAAAGAAAAGAAAAGGAATTTATTTGAGAGGCAGAGTTACAGGAGGGGGTGGAGGGAGAAGACAGAAAGAGAGAGGTCTTCCATCCACTGGTTCACTTCCTAAATGGCCACAATGGCCAGAGCTGGGTCCATCCGGAGCCAGGCGCCAGAAGCTTCTTCCACGTCTCCCACGTGGGTACAGGGCCCCAAGCACTAGGGCCATATTCTGCTGCTTTCCCAGGCGCATTAGCAGGGAGCTGGATTGGAAGTGCAGCAGCTGGGACTTGAACCGGCGCCCGTATGGGATGCCTGTGCCACTGGTGGCGGCTTAGCCCACTACACCACAGTGCTGGCCCCTCTTTGCCACTTCTTATTCCACCCCGGCCCCTGCCTAGCTCCTTTCTCCTTTTTGCTCTTTACAAGTTTACTTGCACTTCGTCCGTGTTCCTTGTGGGGAGGCCTTTTCTGTAAGATAAATAATGGAAGGAGAAGTGGACTTGCCTGTGAATTTGGGAAAGTGGGACTTGCAGTCCAGAATTTTCAGAGGGTGGCTGACGTCAGGGAGTCCAGCTGCTCTGCATTTAAACAGAGTGACATCCAGCAGCTGCCAGGGGTCACAGTGACCCCAGAGGTACCTGGGCTCCTGCCAGCCGAGCAGAGAATCTGCCTGACTGGTAGATGGGGGTACTGCCTTAGTGCAACTTAAGGAAAGTTGACTCACAACAGAAATTCTGGGTCTGAGCTGCCTGACCTGAAAGGAGCAAATGGCTGAACCAAAGGGCTACACTGGGGCTGGTGCTGTGGCGTACGTGGGTGAAGCTGCTGCCTGCAGTGCCAACATCCCATATGGGCACTGGTTCAAGTCCCGGCTGCTCCACCTCTGATCCAGCTCCCTGCTGATTCATCTGGGAGAGAAACAGAGGATGGCCCTGCACCCATGTGGGAGACCTGAGGTGGGCTCCTGGCTCCTGACTTTGGCCTGGCCCAGCTCCTGCCATTGCAGCCATTTGAGAAGTGAACAGGTGGATGGAAGATCTCTCTCTCTCACTCTCACTCTCTCTCTCTCTCTCTGTAAACTCTGCCTTTCAAATAAATAAATAAATCTAAAAAATGGAAGGGGGCTACATTGCTGCATTGGACCTCTCTTACAATTTTACTAGCTATAATCCAAACAATATGATTAAAATAATGGATTTGTCAAACCTCAGGCCAAACATTAACCCCGGTTGATTTCTAATCCTAACTGTGGCCCATAGCCGACCCCGGGGACTAAGCCCATCTCTTCCGGTTATCAGCCAACTGGCCTTGGATAAACGACTTAAGTTCTTCCAGTTCCTGGCATCCTGAATGGTCAGGGAGTAAATGAGATCATGTATGTAAAATGCATTTACATACAGATGCTCTGAGTTTGCTTTGTTTCTGCATCTTGCCCTGGGACTTGCATATTTTAGGAGAACTTTGTTGACCTCATGGAAAGTTTGGGATCACTGTGGCTCAGAACCCTACCCTATTCCTCTTTTCCTGACATTTACTGAGCTAGAAATACGATGGTAAGAGTCTCCTGCTGCACACTGGGGTTCGTGGCTGAAATTCAGCCATGCTGGATGCCCTCAATATTCCCATTGGACTCACTAGTGACTTAAGCTATGGAGCATAGCAGAAAAGGGTTAAGAGACTGCAGGCTCAGAAATCAGTTTTAAGCCGTATAGTAGGTGTGCTAAGTCAGTGTTTCCAAGCAGGGGTGATTTTGCTTCCTGGGGGACATGTGACATGTCTGGAGACATTTTTAAAAATTTTTCAAAAAGAAGCATACATGTATGTATGTATTTGAAAGGCATAATGACAGAGACAGGGAAAGAGAGAGACAGAGAGAGAGCTTTCATCTGCTGGTTCATTCCCCAAATGTCCACAGCAGCCACGACTGGACCAGGCTGAAGCCAGGAGCCAGGGACTCCACATGGGCCTCCCACATGGGTGGCAGAGACCCAGGAACTTTGGCCATCATCTGCTGCCTTCCCCAATGCATTAGCAGGAAACTGGATTGGAAGCAGAGAAGCCAGGGTTCACACCAGCACTCTATTATGGGATGCTGGTGTCCCAAGAGGTGGTTTAACCTGCTTTGCTACAATGCTGGCCCCTGGGGATATTTGTGGCTGGCCCAGCTTGGGGGGTAAGGTGGACGCATGCTACTAGCATGTAATGGGTGGAGACCGGGGCTGCCCCTGGACATAACACACTGGAAGGAACTGTCCTGTGCCAGCAGTGCAGAGGGAGAGAAAGCCCAGTTCAGAGGTAGCCAGTTGGACAAAATTATTTGGAAGCTGGGGGATCCTTCTGGTTTTACTACCCTATTGTTTTGTTCGGGTGTGAGAAAAGTCTGGATGCGGGAGGCACTCAGCGAGGTCTGCAGTCCTTTTTAAACCGGGCTGCTGTTAAGAATTCAGAGTAGCGTGTTTGCCTTTTGGACAGAAAGCTCTGTTGACTCTTGCATGCCAAAAATCTGCTCAGGGCTTGCCGTGTAGCAGCAGCAGCAGCAGCAGCAGAATCTGTCCATAAAAGGGATGGACTGCGCTACCCAGAGGGATTCCCTTCAAGGGTTTCCCTTGTGAGCCTGAAAAATCACTGGGAAAGGGCAAGGAGCTCTAGTCTCGAGTTCTAACCACTCACCGAGGACTGTTTATCCTTCCCTGGAGGTGAGAGGGGAGCAGCAGCTGGGGGTGGGGGTGGGGAGGCAGCACCCCATCCCTAAAAAGGGCTTGTTTAGAAACCACCTTCTTGTCTCTTGGACGTGAAGATTAAGCAGTTCTTCTCTTCTGGAGAAGAGAGCCTGACTCTCATACTCAGGGTGGGGGCAGACGCCTGGCTTCTGGCTCAGGCAGCCGAGGGCCTGGACCCCAGCTTCTCTAGCTGTGTACCGACCCTGTGACCTTGGACAAAGAAAGGAAAATAACAAATTCCCGCACACCTTCCGTATGCCAGATGTGGATCTAGTGTTGCTCATGCAACATGATTTCATTTTAGTTTGACACTGCTTTGTTGAAGTAGCTTGGCTACCTTGCAGTCAGTAGCTGGCTGCATCACCCCAGGGTTGTTGGATTCCAAGGCCCAGGACTTTTCCTCCATGCCACATGATAGTCCCAAATCCTCAGGCTCCCTAAGCCTCAGTTTCTGTGCTTATTAAGTGGCTATATTCAGGCCACTTCAGTCAGGGTTGGGAAGGTAAGTTTAGAACAGCCTATGTGCCTGTACTTGGGTCAGGACTCCAGGGAGAGACCAATGTTCCTTTCTTGCCCACTCCCCCTCCCTCTTCTGTGGCAGCTGGATGGCTTCGGGGACATTGCATGCCCAATGGAGGACATCCCTGTGCTGACATTAAGGTCTTCTGCCCACCCAGGGGCCTGGCTTCTGCTTCCTCCTCTTTTTTTCTTTCTGTAAAGGCTCAGCCAATTCCCCGGGGCTGGGGAGTTGAGAAGTGGGTGGAGTCAATTCCCTCTTCCTGTTGCCTCCAGTTTCTCTGCCATCTGTGAGAGGCCAAGGTTAGGTGGCCCAGAGCTGGCTCCTGAGAGTCAGGGAGACCTGTTATCTCGTTCTCACGAGCTATTTCCACTGGAGGGAGGCCTCAAGGCAAGTCTTTCTATT